GTCGTCCTATTTTGGCTGCCTTTCTGTGTCTGTTTCTATGTACTAAGCAATGCTTCTAAGTCTTCCGGTTTTATTAGCATCCTGAAAAGAGTTCAGCTGCAGGCCAAGTTTAGCCCCAGCCTGTGTCCCTCTGGGCCACCTGTTAAGATTCAGCAAGCAATTCTCAGATGCTGTGCTTACAGTTGCCTCAAGAAGCCATGCCAGAAACCGAGATTAGCTGCCACTAGTGTGAGTCTTGCAGCTGCTCAGCAAGGGTCACAGGACTGGCCAAAGACACAACTGGATGTGCTTGAGTAGGGCTGCGAGGTAGGGGAGGTGGAGATTCAGGGAATCCTCTGGACGGAGCGACCTCTGTTATCCAATCTGATGACATCTCAGCTATGGCAATACTGCGTTCACAAACTGGGAGTGGGGAGGACTCAACAGAGGAACGATGGATACCACAGCACTGTTGCCCAGGAGAAAGCCTTGCCTCCGGTCCTCACTCTGATAATTCAGTGTCCCCCCTGTAAGACCCTAGTACCCACTGAGCAGTCTGCCCAGCACTTGTGCTCACAGCAAGCAAGTCCCTCACCACAAAAGTCTGCTCATGAACACAACCCTTTAAGAGGCGTCTGCAGCTGCCATAGCTTCTGTCTCACTCAGCTGCGTGGACCGGGCAACTTCATGTCTGTACTCACACCTACCATTGCAGGGTGATTTCTTATTTCTATCCCAAGTTGTAGGGCTTCTGTTCATCTAGATCCCAGGCGACTCTACTTGCTGTTTGCTCCATATTTCTGTCACAACTTTGATGTAGTCATAACAGGAGAGAAACAAAGCCTGTATCATCTAAACCATTTTGCCCAGTCTCTGGTAGCTATATTTTAATTAAATTCTTTAAAAAAAAAATAGAGTGAGTTTGGAGAAATATCGCAGAGTGAAGAGACATCCCAGATTTCTCCCCTTGAAACAACAATAAGCCGAACATCTAAAACTCAACAAAAAACACCCAAACAGCACACCGGCACGTCTGAGCATGGGATCTTTGCATAAGAGCTACCACAGGTGAAAACCCCAGGTTTCAGGTGCTGGGCTGGGAGAAATAAAGAAGCTGCCTCTTGCAGCCACTGGAGCTCCCTGTAGGAGCGGGGGGAGGGGAGAAGGTGCGACCAGTTTCCTGAACAGCCTTGCCTGAAAGAGCTGTGACCTCCATGCAGCCGACGACAGGGCCCAGTCATCAAGGCAGAAAGTGAGAAGAGGAATGGCAGAGAAACAACAGTTGATTTTATCCAGCCATGGTTGCAAAACCGAGGATGAGCCGCAGCACCCATACCCCAACCCAGAGGGCCCCTCCCCCATATCCTCCGAGACCGGACACCATGGAACCCCAGGGGAATCTGAACAAACACTACCAAAACTATCGTTAACACTGACAGGGTCTGAGACTGTGAGTACAAAGCATGATTAAACATCTATAAGAAAAGAAAGGCATTATTAAGGCTTTATATATAGCAGGGATCCAAGAGGCTTAGATGCCACCTATCGGAAACCAAAGGAAAAAGGCCTTTTTTACAACAGGCTAAAGAGAGACCTTAATATAATAAATCTTATTTCTAAAAAAAAAAGCAGAATACACTTCTATTATTGTCCAGGTGGAGAAACAGTCCTTTAAACACCATGAACAATGAAGGTGACAAGGCATCTCAAAAAGAGAAAAATCTCCAGAAAATAAACTTACAGACATAGAAATATGTGACTTAAATGACAGAGAATTCAGAAATAGTACTTCTGAAAAACTCAATGAGATCAGAAACAAGTCGTATCAACAATTTCAGGAATTGAAAAAGCAACTAGATGAGCGGAATGAGTTCTTTAGCAAGAGGATTGAAACCCTCAAAAATAACAATAGAAGTTCTAGAGATGAAAAACATACTAAAAGAGATGAAAAAAGAAATAGCAAGCTTGGGAAATAGAGTCGACCAAATGGAGGAAAGGATCAGTGATATCGAAGACAGATCTAGAAATAAATGAGAAAGAAGAAGAGAGAACTTGAAAGATGAAAAATAATGAAAGAGAAATACAAGAATCAGCTGGTACCATCAGGAAAGGAAACATAAGAATAATAGGCATTCACGAAGGGGAAGAAAACGAGCCGGGATTAGAAAGCATTTTGAGACAAATAGTTGACAAGAATTTCTCAAATCTATGGTATGAGCTAGAGCTTGCAGTTCAAGAGATCAACAGAACATGCAATTATCACAACCCAAAAAGGTCTTCGCCAAGACACAATGTATTAAAATTATCAAAAATCAATGACAAAAAAGAATTCTCAGGGCAGCCAGGGAAAAGAAAACGGTACCTTATAAAGGAAAACCCATTAAATTACAGTCGGACGTCTCAGCACAAACTATACAAGCCAGAAAGGAGTGGAATCAAATATTCAAAGTATTAAATGAAAGAAAGTATCAGCCAAGAATAAAGAATCCAGCAAAGCCCTCCTTTAGGTATGAAAGAGAAATAAAGACCTTTCCAGACTTACAAAATTTGAGAGAATTTTCTACTACTAGACCTACATTACAGGAAATACTAAAAGGGGCCA